CGTGTATTACATAAAATATTACTTGTGTATCGTACACAACAATACTCATATTTTACACTACTCGCGTGCTGTATAAAACACTACTCGTGTATTGTATATAACAGTTTTCATGTATCGTATACAACACTGCTCACAGCCTACAGTAATGAAGTATTAAAGCAGACGAATGTGCGTATAAACATGAACAAGATAGCTAACTGGAAAATAAATTCTACATATCGACAGTTAAAGTCTATTCTGTAATAAGTCACTAAGTGTTCAACGTACATTGCTAAACCATCAAGTGCGCGCGTATTATGATGTTTCTATGTCTGGTAAATTCTCTTAAAATGCAATTATTTGATATATTTTTAATTATTTGTCTTTTCTTGTTTACTTTGTCTAAGAAATTAAATTCATCAGTTTGTTCAGGAAAACCTAACTAAATCTGCCGATAGATGGCAGTGTATAAGTCCATTATCTACTATATACCATGTAGATGGCCTTCTGTAATTCAGGTGTTTTTTATCCGCCCTCAGAGTGACATTATTTCATCTTTTAGCAGTCACGATCGGGGTGCTCCACGTCTAGCTGTACCAGGTACTATTTGTTACGTTGAACTTCTGGTTAATCTTTTACATTTCGAACCCTGCATGTGCAGGATTGTTCGTCTTCTGCAGGAAAGCATGACAGGTTAAGTTGTGTAGGAAAAACTAGTTTTGATAACATTACTTTGTTAGGTTTATAAGTAAGACCCACAATTTAGTGTTATTATCACAATTATTCCAAACTACCACCTCGCGGTTTTGAATGGATAACACATTACGAAATAGGCTATTTAACCCTTTACATAACGGACAACCATGAAAGTTCATTTCCAGCTTTAACTACAATCTGACTGATTGAAGTTATTAATCCACGTTCTTCAATTTACCGAACCCTACTCACACTAATATCACCTAATCCAGAGGTTCCCACGAACCACCTGAAGAATAACCACATGGACCCATGCTCGACTGGGTAGGTGGGGTGGGGGGTTACTGTTATAGTATATTCCAGTAATGTCTAGTAGCGCTCTTTTCGTGTTTTCGTTTGGTATCTTCCAAACATTTTATAATAATTATTTTTCATATGATTTTAAAATATAAAATTATTTATTCTTACAGCGCCCTCTTGCAACGCACATTTTGTAAAACCGCTGATCTAGTGTACAACAAACAAGTTGTTTATTTAAAGAAAAAAGCAATAATAGCCTTCTATACTTTCACTTGCCAATCTTGGGTACATTTAATTCAATTAAATGTTTGGTATTTAGGGGGTTCACATTTTAACAGCAAATATTTGATTTTTAAGTGTCAAGAATCATAAAATGCAACTATTTTAAAACCAGTTGGGTTAGAGTATTAAATGCTAAAGTTCCGAACAGCTGAAGAATCTGGGTTAAACCTTAGAAAGAGGATTAAGTAACAGTTACCTTGGCAGGTTCGGTTAACGAAAGGTTCTCGCTCTTTACCTCTCCGTTAGCTTTCTTCAAGGGAGACTTGTTAGGAGACATTCCAACTGAGAAGAAACAGAAGTACGACATTATAACTTGTATATTAAGACATGTGTTCAAAGTTTCCGGTTCCATATTATTTTTATTTGTTTAAACCACAAGGTTTTGACTACAAATGGACAGAAACGTCTGAAGAAGGTTACTGAAATTGGACAGAAAACCTAAAAACGTTTCTTACATTCTTAACGTGACATTGTAATTTAAATGAAATGAAAAGTAAAACTCTTGTTATTATAATTTAATATATACATCATCGATATTTTAATCCTACATCAATATTGCCATTAAAGTTAATTTTGAAATAATTCTACACGAGAACAGCCTAACTTAACCAGTCTGTCTTTAGCCTACTTTTGTGCATCTTAATTGTTCATTCGCTGTTTGGAGACGAAATATAAAATAGTCGTATTCAGTAAGAAATATCTGTTCATGTTAACATGTTTATAAAGCAATGTTTAATTTGAACGCAATGAAAACTATATCAAATTTTGTTCATGTTTCAGTTTTAAGAATTTAACTTCTTACTGACAAGTTAACTTCTCAAACTATGGATACGTGTAATGGAACCCGAATGGGGAAGGGGGGGAGGATAAATACTAAAATAATCTAGAAGCAGTTTATCGTTAACCTATAAAAGTTATTACGCTGTTTCCTGTAAAAAAGAAACCAAACCTGGTAAAATTAGAGAAACGTAAAAAAAGGAATTGTACAGTAACGTGAAGTAAAACATTTTTCTCATCTTGTTCAAAGAACTGATACAACTAAAAATCTTATGAAATAGGAATACAAAAATGGTTGAACAAAGAAACTTACGAAAGAGGTAGCAGAGTAACGTGTAGAATATTTTATTCCCGTCTCTTTTTAAAGAATTGAGAAACTTACGAAAGAGGTAACAGACTAACGTGTAAAACATATTGTTCCCGTTTCTTTTAAAGACTTGAGAAACTTACGAAAGAGGTAACAGACTAACGTGTAGAACATATTGTTCCCGTCTCTTCTTAAAGATTTGAGAAACTTACGAAAGAGGTAGCAGACTAACGTGTAGAACATATTGTTCCCGTCTCTTCTTAAAGATTTGAGAAACTTACGAAAGAGGTACCAGACTAACGTGTAGAACATATTGTTCCCGTCTCTTCTTAAAGATTTGAGAAACTTACGAAAGAGGTAGCAGACTAACGTGTAGAACATATTGTTCCCGTCTCTTCTTAAAGATTTGAGAAACTTACGAAAGAGGTAACAGACTAACGTGTAGAACATATTATTCCCGTCTCTTTTAAATATTTGAGAAATTTACGAAAGAGGTAGCAGACTAACGTGTAGAACATATTGTTCCCGTCTCTTCTTAAAGATTTGAGAAACTTACAAAAGAGGTAGCAGAGTAACGTGTAGAGCATATTATTCCCGTCTCTTTTAAATATTTGAGAAATTTACGAAAGAGGTAGCAGACTAACGTGTAGAACATATTGTTC